TTTAACTGAGGGAAATATGCTTCTGCGTAGATAAGAATATTTATGAGAAATCCCACCTGAACTCGAGGACGATACGTCATTTAAAAGATACACAAAATCGGTATGATGATCGAATAAAAAATATTCCATCATTTTTAACAGCCCTTCTACGATGAAGGAAAGAAAGGAAGAAGAAGATCGAAATCAAGAATTTTCACGACTCACCGGACACCTTGTTATACACTCGTTATACTGAGAGTCGTTCGGAGAAGCAGCCGTTGTTGTCGCAATTGTCGTAACTGTTACAGAATCGAAACGGGTTGTGGAATCTCCCGGTCTGTCTGCCGGTCCATCGAAAACGAATCCATCCACTACGAACGTATCGCGTGTCGTCTGAATTTCAACGTTGTTACCAGCCAGCCCGTCATTCTTTGTACAAACCAATCGCAATTAATTAATTGATGAAATTGTGTTCAACGATTGAACAATTAAACTTTCCTTACCTGTGGAAATGCGATCAAGCTTCCACTCGATGCAATAGCTACGCAACATTCATTACAATTATCAGAATGTAAATTGATCTTTTATACAACAAATCTCTATGGTGCATTTATTTTACGAAAACATACTTACTTAACAGTAGAGAAAATTGCCACATTTCGATTAGTCAACCCTTTCTTTATTTCGTAATTTTGTACTCTCTTCTATAATTTTTCCTCTTCTTTTCTCTATTTCCCTTCAAGTTGTGCTAGTGCACGAGATCGCGCGTTTACTGAGATTTACCAAAGTTGTCCTCGTTTTATAGCTGATCGTCAGTCAAGAGATTGGCGAATGATGACTACATTAAGTAGTATCAGCCAACCAGAGAGAATCACTTGATTACACTTAAAAATCCCCGCGCGAACTTAGTTAATGCACAAATACTGGATTTTCCTGTTCTGTCATTCTTTTTTCTTTTCAACGTTTCTGAAGGTGGAATAAATAAATAATAAAAAGAAACTAATTTTGCTAATTTTACCTGCGTTATATTAATTCGTTCGCTAGCCCTCTTACGCGGAGCAAAAATAAATGACACATCTTTAACATTTTACATTTTTAAAGACGTTTACATACGTATCATGCATAACTAAATCGCCACGTTTGGAAATTCTACTTTCCATGAGATATATTTTAATCGTTGGTATTATTCCTGATTTCCAATGTAAATCAATGAATCAGGCCAAAAAAAATAAAATAAAATAAAATATTGTAATAAGGTAACAGTTTATTCGTATATACTAATAATGTACAATTTGTCTACATAATATTTGCATGAATCATAATGTCAACTAAATATTACACTAAATTTTACATTAAATATTACATTAAAATTTCTTTCAACATAAACATGATATAATCTGTAATTTACATCATTTCTTTTATTATATGTAATATTTATACACCGGGATATCTTAATTGCAATTCCAATTTTACATATACGAAAGACATTAGACATCAGTATAGAACCGATGAAAAATGAATCATATCAGTAAAAAAAATGCTTATATGAAATACTTAGATGAAACAAGGGTGCTGTTTCTATAACCTGCTATCTACGATTCCTAACTTTCTTTTCTATTGCCAATCTCGTTTAATGAGATTAGCTTTAATTCTTATTAAAACGAATGCATTCTTTCGAACCCTCGATTAATTTTCCTTATGGATACTATGTTAACATGTATGTTACAAAATCATATACATTTTTCGTTCCACTTTCTATTCTTAATGTCGTTTTTAACAGCAATTAAACATTATCAGAACAAAACATATATTCACAATTTTTTCATGTTCCGATCTTAACCTTATTTACTCTGAATTTAACGATGCACCGGCACCATAATATTACCACCATATAACATCGCATAATATTCGCACCATATTTAACATGGTCAGTAATTGCTAACTTTAAAAATGTTATCACAAAAATGTCGTATATGAATCTTAAAAATCAAAAATGAATTGGTAGTTCACAGGAATGACAACGTGATAAAATCATACGGAATATCATCGCAATTGACCATTGAAATTGTTTAAACGAAAATTTCTTTTCGCCTCTGATACTTCATCAACGAACGAATCTTATTTAATCAAATATGAAAATTAATTTATAGACGATGCTAAACAATTATTAAAGACTTCATCCTATTCATCACTCGGTCGATTTGCAGGAATTATCTTCCAATTTTATTTTGAAACTGTTTTTTTTATTTTCATTGTTTCTAATCGCCAAATATACTTTAGATTATTGTTCGCATTAGTAACATCGTTCGATTTATGATTGTTCAGGTTGGTACGCAGCATAAATCGTTCCGGCCCTTTTCTTTGCTAAATCTGTTGCTTTTTTAGCAGCATCCTTTACTTTTTCCGCTTTTCCTTGTAACGAATGTTGAAAGTCTTCCGCGAGACTAGTTTTTATTCCTTCATCAATCTAAAAAAAAGAAACAAAGAAATTATATTTTTTCCTTTCGATTATTTAGATTACTTATTATACACATTGTTCTTACTAGATGAGCAAAACCCATTTGAGAAAGTGGTGGATTCATATATTGTGCTGTGTGTGGAAACATGTGTGCTAGGACATAATTGAACCCATTATACATCAAAGTACAATTCTTTTTAAATCTATCCAATCCAAATGCTTGAATAGCTCTACTAAATCCAAATACTTGACTGTCAATCCAAGCTGATCTTTTTGCAATTGTCCAATTAGGATTTTCTTCACATACTTTATAAACAACTTTCTCCACAATGCTCTATAAAAACAAAAAACTATAAAGTTCAACAGTTACAATATAGTATCGCCAACAACTTTAGCATATACTGGTAACAGACAAGAATAAATTACCATAACTTTAGTGTAACCTAAATTTCTTGTGTATGTTGTCAAAGTTTTTGTTTTGGGATCCACTGTACTCTCTTCAATAATTTTTACAACGTTTTTACTAATAAATCTCTCTCCCCACTTTGGTACTCTGTTAGTTTTTGTCAAAAGTCTTGTAGTATGTAACATGCCATTTTTAATCTTTCTTGATACAGTATCTTCCGTAAGAACATGGGTACTAAGAAAGTAATTTGAACCATTTATTAATTTACAAATATTTATTAATAAAAAATATTATAATTTTATATATTCCATAATTATAAATCTGATACCTGCCTATTGGGATTTGGATATCTCTGCCAAAATGCATGAGCTACTTGATTCCAGTTAAACTGAAAAACTGTACTATTTTCATAGTACTTCATCTTGTTGATCAATCTAGTTTATATTGTCTAAAGAAAATTATATCCAAAAAATATCTTTGCAAAATGCAAACTCAATCATATGTCAATAATTTCTAATTTTAATTTGTATCCTTTAATCTGAAATCAAACATTACATATATGTATACATACATCTAAAACATTTTATCAAATTAAAATAATTATATAATTTTATAATAATATAAAAAATAGTAGTATAAAAAAGAATGATGGAAGAAAAGAAAATCTAAAAAATATGAAATAATTAATGTGCTTAAATGAACTTCCCCAATTATTCAAATTAACATAACAAATTACTAAAATATACAAAGCAATAATAAAATATCGCGAATGAAAAGAAATTCAACTCTTACGCAATGATATTAATCCATTAATGAATATTCATACACGTGTTGTAAAAATCAATATTGTACATAATCAAAAATCAAAAATGTATTTAAAAGCAAAAGATAATTTCCAAATGTTCCCGCACATTTATATAATTTTATTAATTTTGCATTAAAAATTATTTAATCATCCGGTCAAACGAAAATGAAATTACATAACCCTTTTTTATATATGAAAATCACCAGCCGCTTTATGCATTTAAATTGTCAACTATTATCACTTAAGTTGCATTAATTAAGATTTGTAATATATTCAAAATATCACGAAATTACAAATACATGTTAATCACTAAAATTTAATTGAAAAGTTACAAAGGTATACCAGAAAAATCAATCCATTCCGACAGAATACTTTCATTTGAAACTTTATTGGATACACACCGCTTTTTCTTCTAGCACTATATTGATATTCGTACAAAAGAACTAACGCAAAATTCATAACATAGTTATACTACTTACAATGATAACAAATTATACTTCTTTCATATCAAACCATAAGTTCACTGAGTCACGTAACTAGCAAAACACGACTTACTCCATTGTCGATATTGTGTTCCTTATCATGTTTTAACATGTTCACACACGTGCAAATACACACTATATATGCACCGTGAGTCAGTATAGACAACTTAAATTAAACGAACAAACAAACAAATTGTTTGTTTAATTTCAGAAGTATGAAATTTCTATAGACGCACGCATATTTAAAGGTAGAAATTATTTCAGTTGAAAACTTATTACTTGTAATAAAAGAAATTTAAGCGTGTATCATGTACCATTTTTTAGTATAAAATGTGGTAGGACCGTAACAATTTGAAACACCAACGGATTAACGATTTCTATTGTCATGCTGTAAAATTAAAAATCATTTGATTACTATTTTCATGTTGTTTACAAACAACTAGGAGATACGAGATCAGGCCGATCATCATTGATTGTTTAAGAAACAAAAAGTTCAAAAATGCCTATAAAGACAAAGCAAATAAAAGGGATATTAATACCCATAGAAGAACAAGTAAGAAAAATATAGCAGCTCTCTACTGTTTTCTATATTGTTCAGTTTCTTAAAAAGTAGTAAAGTAGTAAAAAGTTTTAATATATTCCATATTTTAGGTAAGTAAACTAAAAGAACTGATAAATACTAACCCTCTTACTGCACATGAGCCTACGTCAAGAAATTTGGCACTCTTCGAACACTTAATATGTTTGGGAGAAAAATTTGATGCTCTGTCAAAAGAAGAAATTAATGATTATGAAGAAATGGAATCGAAGATCACTAGTATCGTAAAAGAATTTTGTACACTACAATATATGGATGAATCTGTATGTTGAAATAGAATACATATTAATTTGTTGTCAGCTATTGTAAAAAATATTCTTTTCAGATTGAAAGCATAGACAAGCAAATGGCAGATCAGATTTTGTCCACTGTATTAGATAAATTTAAGTTAGCTCTTGAAACTCTAGAAAAATTGGAATGTTTGCCATTGAAACAAAGATTGACTGATTGCTTAGATTACATCAAGGAAATGGGTCAGGCCAATGAAATTGAACATTTTCAGAATATTAAGGTATAAAAGATACAAATACATAACATTCTGTATTGTTCTTTACAGTTATCCTAATCATATTATATTACCAGGAATTAGGCACTTCCATTTTGGAATTGCTTGGGCCATTACAAATATATAGAAAAAGCTTAG